AAAAAGGGGGGTTTCCATTTTAAAAAAACCACTTCCGGTTGAAGTAACCCACTTTCGGTCAAAATCAAAAGTTGAAAGGTACGCCATTTTGGTTCCCCCTCGAAACCCTACAACTTTTATATGAAACTTTTTTCGATTTCTGGCCACACAAACGAGTTATTGGAGGTGATAGATTCAGATGACTCACCCTGTATATATATATTTATTATCATGATATACATGAAATTATCATGATATAAGTATAATCAAAAAATGTGTAGTCAGCATTTGATTATTCAAATAACTGTCTTCAAAGAGTTGTTCTCATAAAAGAACCTCACGTTGTGTTATATTCTGATTTTAAGCAATTTTATACATGTTGTGACGTGACACTTTTCGTGTCCGTCACAAGGACATAATTCCGGCCGGCACAGGAGGCGGTGGGCTTGTGTCTTCCAATGTTTTGGGGAGAGCAGCTCATAAGAGTGAATAAAGCAAGCGAGCGCGCGTATATTGACGAGGATGCGTGACGCCTCTATTGTCTGTTGTAATTAAGTGCGACATTGAAGTGTGCTCTAATATTGTTCAAATTATTTGCAGGTTGAGCGCCATTAGTTTTCAGAATTATTCTGTATTATTGAATAGCGTTTTAGGGTGTTATTTCGTGCCGCATAGGCCGCGTGGCGGCTAGCGTTGCCGTTCGTTCCTAGCGAGGAGAGAGAGAGTAGATCACAATGCGAGGCGTCGGACGAAGAAGTACGACGTAGACGGAGACGAATAGTGGTACAGGACCGTAAGGGCTCCAGAGGTATAGAGCGCGACGACGAGATCGACAATGGACCAAGAAACGGGAGATATCGACACTCCGACTCCTCCAAAAATCGGAGCGGAGCTCCCTGTGGCGTCTTGTCACCGCGAAGCTAGAAGATGAGCCCGAACAAGCTCATCGATCAAAGAAAAGGATCGAGGCAGAGCGGATCGAGGCGAACAGAATCAGGGCCCGTATCGATGAGTTGCCGATACGCACGTGGCCGCTGTCACTCGCAACGCCGTGAAAAGGAGATTATGATTGGCTCATCACCTAGCGCGACAAGCGGCGCACGGCCGCGAGGGCAATTGCCGTACCGGCGAGATTCATTGTTGTGCGTGCCGGTACTTACAAGTTCCCCGCCTCATATACGTGCCGAGCGATAGTGCGCTGGAGTGACGAGAGCCCGAGGAGGACCAGAACCGACCTTGAACGGACTAGATAAGACGGAGAGTTGCTGATTGTGTGAGCGAAACTGCGGGAGGAAGGTGCCGACAAGCGTAAGTGACTACTCAATTTCTCTCTCTCTCGCATACGTCGTATAGAATATTTTCGCGGATCGAGTCTGCACGCGTTTCGACAGCTCGATGCCGCGCTGAATATTGTGGTGAAAATTATTCTTTTGGAGTAAGAAAATTACAAGCCGACAACTCCTAGAATTGCTGCTCTTTTTCCCCGTGCCACGGTCGCAACAATCTGGGCGTTGTATCGTCCGTAATTCGTTCGTGTATTGTTTTGTTTTTTTTGTATTTATATTCTCTTCACCGTACCGTTGCGAGCCGATTTCGCTGCGTTGCCGTTCACCCGCGCGATATACGGGAATATTAAAATATTTTATATTAAAGTATCACCTCATGAGCGATATCTAAGTGGATTCTCTTCTAACCATCGAGACCGGAAGGCACGGGTCGTGCCGAAACTCGTGGCCGTCGGACCGCGACATCACATTTTGTGCAATATCTCGCGCGCGCCAGACAAAGACCGCGCGCCTCTCGCACGTCTTATCTATCGCTCGGCGTACGACAGCGCATTCTGTCGTTTATCTAACACCTTGCGCGGCGAGCGATACATTAGAATACGAACGCAAGGCCACGAGCGGATCTTCGACCGACAAAAGATCGCGCCGGATTCAGCTGCCGATATCACTCGTTCCAACGAGAGAATATTTCCGTACGTCTTCGCTTACCAGTGTCCGCATATTTTCTTTATGTTTCTTTTATTGCATTATTTCGTTGTACTGCCGAGAATTTTTCTTGGCCGGCCACACGCCAGAACCATCATAAATATTATTAAATTATATTGTCATTTAACACCAAACGAGCAAGTTTCTCGGCCTTTATTTCAAACACTGCCTCCTGAGCCCACGCCTCTCCGTGTAACTATTCAAAAAACTGAGCTGCCGAAAGAGTGCCGTCGCGTCCTTGAACCCAAGAAGTAATTATTGCAACTCGAGTCCTGTTGAGAACGGCGTGAATTCACGCCTGGCGCCCGACTATTGAGATTCGGTGAGTAAGGTAAATGACCCAGTCGTTGTCAACGACCCAGTAGTTGTCAATGAATAAAAAATCAATAATTCACAATTATAAGAAGTATAAAAGGCTCTAAAAAAATTTTTTCCAATAAAAATAGTGATGTATTTTCAATTTGTTTGCCAAAAAACTCGTGTAAATTATAAAATATAGTAAGGAAAATAATAATTATGAAGTGTACGTCACTGAATGTAGCCCTCGGCTGCTGTTACTTAGCGTCATCGCTAAGCGACCAGATGTGGAGAAATTGATGTTAAGAAATTCAGTGAAACTTTTGGAGACTTTCATCGAGTTAAATTATTAGTTTTCGTCACAATGGGGAAGGAAAAAAAGGTAAAAATAAGAATTAATTATGTAAAATAAGTTTAAATTCACTATTAACTACTGGGTCCGCTTATGTACTTCGGGAGCAGTAGTTGTTAGTACCTGACAACTATTGAGTTTAATCTTACTTTTCATTAATTTATGTTTTATAAACATGTAATGTCGTGTTTTATCTAAAATTTAGTGAAAACATTGTATAAAAATGCCTGATTAATGAAAAAGCGTGTCAAAATAATCAAAACAATAACCTAACCTAGCTTATATCAAATCAAGTTGTGGTTGAGGAACATTTCACTGATTATTTTTTATTTCTTAGGCCAAGAACAAAAAAGGTAAACCCTACTACTCCAAATTGGACTTGCAAAATGCTGTTGATGCTGTGAAGAGAGGCAGCTCAATGTGGGCAGCTAGTCAAAACTACAAAGTTCCCTACAGCACTTTGTCTACAAGAGTAAAAGGTGTCTACGACATGGATGTAACAAGAGGTCCTAGTAGTGTTTTTAGTAAAGAAGAAGAAAAAGACATTGTCACTTGGATCTTCAATATGAGCAGATGTGGATTTCCAATCGATAAACAGCATTTACTCGATACAATACAGAATATTGTACAAAAAACTGACAGGAAAACACCTTTCACTGATGGTAGACCATCCAAACATTGGTACAGTGCTTTTTTGAGAAGAAATCCAGAGCTCTCCGAGAGGATGTCTCAAAATTTGACCAAAGCAAGATCAGAAGTTTCAAGAAAGTCTTTCGAAGATTGGTACACTGAAGTTGGTGGATACCTTGAAGAAAAAAACTTGAAAGACATTGATCCCAGCAGTGTATTTAATCTAGATGAATCTGCATTTATGTTGTGTGCGAAGAGTGGTAGGGTGTTAGTGTCAAAAGGAATTAAAAGTGTATACAATGTGTGCAAAAGTGATAAGGAGTGTTACACAGCATTGATTGGGGGTAATGCAGCAGGCACTCTTCTTCCCCCAATGATTCTGTACAGTTATGAGAGAATACCTAAAACGATTGCAAACAATTTTCCAAATAGTTTCATCATAGGAAAAAGTGATACTGGCTGGATGACAAGTAGTACATTTTATTCGTACATAGTGAATCACTTCCATCCTTGGTGTATTAAAGAAAACATACCTTTTCCGGGAATTATTTATGTGGATGGGCATAGTTCCCATTTAACCAAAGCATTAAGTGATTATTGCTGTGATAATCAAATTGAGTTGATAGGACTCGTGCCAAATGCTACTCATTTACATCAGCCCATAGATGTTGGCCTTTTTCACGTATTAAAAAATGCTTATAAAAACAGGCTCAGAGAGTGGAGACAAAACCATGATGGCCAATATCCAACAAAAGTTTTTTTTCCAACGGTGTTGGAGAAAGCTTTAAGTGACTTGGACTTAAAGGAAATTCTTAAAAATTCCTTTGAGAAATGTGGTTTGCATCCTTTTAATCACAATAGTATAGATTACTCAAAATTGATACCATATGATCCTGTACGTATCATCAGTAATGATCAAAACCATGATGAACCATCGCCAACTGTCTCATCACCTCACCAACTATCTCACAACATTGAATCTATGATAAAACCAGATGTTTTGAAGATGTTTAAAGAGAATGTAAGTCCAGACTGGAAAGGATCTATTGAATACAAGAAATTATTTGTTGTTTGGCGTCAGTGTATTAATCAATCAAGTAACAAAGTGAGAGGTGCTGAACCTTTATGCACATCAAACATTAACTGTCAGTCAAGTGTGAATACTGGGTGTCAACTACACAAAAATGGTTCATTTGAAGTCACTGTAACTAACAATACCGTGACATCTCAAGTTCCTGAGGAAATTGTCAGTGAATTGGTGCAAGATGGCATAGTAGAGACAGTACAATTAATTGAGCATCATTTAGATGTGGATAATTCTTGTACGCCAAACAATGTTGAAAGTTCTTCGCTCAATAATAGATTTGATAACAGCTTATCGCTGAGAAACCAAAGTATTCTTAGGGACTTGCACAACATTGATCATTCTCAAAAGGTATGTAATTGTTGGACACAATTTAAATCAAGTCTTTTTTACTTTACTTTGTGAAAACGTTTTTTTTTTTAATTTGTTTAATTACAATTTCATGTTCCATTTTACTAGGATGAATATCATGAAAATGATGGTGGTAGTCCTCTTAATTTAAGTGTACCTCATAAGAATGAAAGAGCCTTCCCTGAGCCTGGTGACTTTCAAAATCTATTTTCGATTACACAAGGTTAACTTTTCTGTACTCGTACTTGACTAAATTTCATACCTTGTTGTAGAT